CATCACGTCTCGACGACTCCGGGACGATGCGGTTGACTTCCGTTGAGGAAAAGATGTCGATCCGAGGTCGGAAGATGGAGATGAAGATGGGCGCGAGACACACACACTACAATAGATCCGTCACTTGGAACTTTCGGGAGAAGAAGCCGTCGCGTCCTTGAATTTCCGGGGTTTTATCCGTTTTCTCTCGGATTCCCCTTTCCGATTGGTCTCTCCTCGTCACCCGAAGACAATTCGATACCTTTCGGGGCGCGGGAGAGGTCAAAATCGAAGTTTAATTCGATCTCCAACCGGAAATGGTCGACGGACTTACATTCTTCTATTGTTTAGAAGTTAGCGTCGCGTTTTCATAAAATAAAAATCTATTTCTAATTACTATATTATTTTCTCTAAAACAATTATTTTAACGCGAATTTTAGTGAGGGTTCGGACCTGTCCAGAGCCTCACATAAGGTCTGCCAATGGCATCCCAACTGTATTTTTTCAGAAGAAATTTAACACGAAATACATTAAAAAAACCTCGTCTTTTCTAGAAAAGTAACGTTATTATTAATGATATTAAGTATATGTAAAGTTGCCCTGAAATAATGCTATTGTACGAAGCCGCCCAAAGATTCGTTGGGGTATAACTGTCGTTTACAATCTTAAGAAATACCACTTTTGACGGGTAAAGGAATGACACTAGTTGTTTTGTTAAGCATCTGGCAGCACTGACACCGACCAAATTAATCGTGGCAAATTCACAATTCGCCAATCAAAAATGTAATTAAAGGTTTTAATATAAGATTGTAAAGAACGAATAACAAAAAGTCTACGGACTATTTATTTCTCAATCGAACCTCTGATGGCCAGTTTGTCTCGGACATGTCAGGCTTCGACCCTCTCATTTTTCTTTTTGTTTGTTTAAAATATATTCTGATTTCGGTGACTCGACTCGGGTTATCGTCAGTTGTGACGTCACCGGTGACGACCTTATAAATTCAACCAGCAAGTTTGACAATTTTGTAAAAATAAAACTTAACCATCGTTTCACTCATTTGCGCCATTTATTGTTGCTCAATTTCTTTATACAGCAGCTAGAAAAAAATGCTTTTAATTTACGATGCTTGAAAAAATCTATAATCGATAACTGAGGTACCTTCCAGTTCCAAATTTTCAATTACGCCAGTGGCGTGCCGTGACATTTGATGATAGGGAAGCTGTTTTTGTAACAAGCCGACTTCCAGGGGCAATCAGCCAGCGACGGTCTAGGGTCCCATTCGTAATCGTTTGTTCGATAAGCCAGTAAAAAGCGTAGACTTTTCTAAATGTATTTTTAATTAATAGATTATCTAACGCACTTAATAAATAAGCGAGTTCAATATAATTAACTCTCTTATATTAGATTTAATAGATTCTCTACGCCCTCTAAATGCCAATTCTCGTTTTGATAACATCTACTAATTAAAATATAATATATCTATTAGCCGTAACTATCTCGTTATAATTTTCAATCTTTATTTTATATTGTGTACTAATGTTAAATTCTATTCTATTTTGATTTCCAAATTGCTTCAATTTTACGAAAGAATCGATG